CTATATAAATCCAATCCATTATTAAAAGAATGTTCGGACTAATTTTGTACTTTGGATGAATGTGTCCTTGCCCTCATCAGAATCAGAATACCTTATTAATCCCCAAGGAAATGATCTGAGCTTTGACTCAGATACTTTAATTAAAAACATCTTTTTAATTTTTGCAGTTTTCTGTTAACGCGCTATGCTGAGTCACTGGGTCAGTTTGCTGCAGCCTCCCAGTCCTGTAATTTCTCCCTCAGGTTTTTCCACTCGAACCAGAAAGATGTAAGTCTATCCCTCTTTGTGATTTAACTGCAGAGACTTTTACTGGATCTCCTGCTCTTACGTTACCTTCCTTATTTATCTCTCCTTTGCCTCTGTCTTCTTTCCACCAGACCTCAGAGTATATCATCCAGGCATATAAGTATGGAGCGTTTGAGAAAATCCCAGAGTTCATTGCTCTCAGAAACAGGTTAAACCAGTCGCTGCACTTTGCCCAGGTCCGCACTGAGAGGATGCTGCTCGACCTCTTCCTTGAGGCTGATATGTAAGAATATTCACAATAATTTACATCAACTTGTGGATTTCTATCTATAGTTGATTGTGATGTTGTATTTTTCTGTTTTGCAGTGTCTTGAGTCTGGAAGAGAGTGTGAAGGCCATGTCTTTGTCTGCCGAAGAGGATGACATCCCCTGGGATAGTATGAGGGACAACAGAGACCTAACTGTTTTTACGTGCTGGGATCCTAAAGACAGGTATAGTCCTTTTTTGGGGGGGGGTTTGGTTACAGAGATGCTGGTACTCACTCACAGTCTCCAATCCAACCCTGTGCTACTCTTTTGTTTACAGACAGCTAACAGATGAACACAGACGTCAGTCTCTAGAGGAAGAGTCCATGTGGCTCAGAATACGTTCTCTAACACTTCGCCTCCTCGCCTCATTGGCTGCGTTGGCACATATGCCCTCACAGCAAAACTCTGAGATATCTAATGAGAACGGAGTGGGAGACAAGACCTCAATTCTCAGCAGCCTGCTCTCCCAGCTGAACCAGACTCTACAGACAGCAGCTCAGATGGCAGAAAAACACATACAGGTGCACACAAACAAGCAAGTCTCTGTTATTGTAGCGTCTTTACCGTTTAGTATAAAGTGCCTTGAGGCGACTGTATTATTTTATACTACACAAATATATTTGAGTTGAAGTCAACCTCACTGACTCCTTTGTCCCATATACAAAGGCTCACTTCACAGCAATACATGAAAGAGAAGGCAAAGAGTGATTATTTTATTTATTTATTGTTTTTAAACATGAAAGGTGATGGCATATGCATTCTAACGAATTTGAAGGATTTTTCTTTTAGACACATAAAAGTCTGAATCTCAGCTGTCTGTTTCTTAGTCCACACGTTTGCCCAGAAAATGCATCACTGATTGCACAAAATGAATTCTGTTCTCCAGAAAGGAGCCAGTGCATTAGTCTAGAGTTGTCCGATTTGAGTTTTAAAATCGTGACTGTTGGGCAACTAACAGTTTATTTTTAGATTCAAGAATCAAACAATACAAAGGCACAATATTTCAACAAGAAATCTCCTCCAGCTGGTTAGTGTGTGTGTGGTGATGGTGTGCTCACCGTGTCCCAGTCAGCAGTAAAACGATCTTAAACGGAAACTCTTTGATCAGGAATACACCTTATGATCTTTTAATTATTGTCATGTATCAATTTTAACATCCTCCCCAAATGTTTTGGATCCATGTTGCACAGGGTAACTGGAATTAACCTAATTTACACCAACACCAAGTGGTCAGATGAGAGTTTCGACCAAATCTCTACGTCATCCATATTTTCACATGACGTTTGCTGTACATTTGCGCGGACTGGAGTGCTTTGCTGTAATGGTGATGTTGTTATTCCAGTATCCATTCCTGGGACCACCCTCGACCCGTCTGGTCCTAGCTTTGTCCAGTGGAAGCTGTCAGTGTCAGGCTGCAGCCCTGCAGTTGTCTGTCCACCTACATGAGCTCGAGACGGCTGGACTTGGTAAGAAGAGACAATGGTAACATGAAGACTAACAAACTAATTGGATTTAGCCTGATGATTTTCTTCTCTCCACTCCTCCTTATTTACCCTCCTAGATGGGTCATCCGAGCTTCAGACACAGATCTGTAACGGTTTCAAATCAATAGTAGTTCAGCTTCAAGGTGAGTCACTAGATGGTTTTCTTTATCAAAAATAAACATTATTGCACATCTGGGATGCTTCATGTTTTCCTCCTCTGTCCACAGAAATCCTGAATAAATGCAAAGGAGATTTATTGGAAATGAAAGAAGGCAAATTAAAAACCCAGCCGTCCTTATTAGAAAACCTAGTCTTCTTTGTTGAGGTGAAACATCTGAGTTTCTACACACGCAGTTTACAACTTGTTTTCTACCAAATCTCATGCTGTCTATAATATACACCACTTTATTTTGCTCAGACCGTGTGCATAGTTCTGTGGATGGCTAGTTACTGTGCCAAGATCCTTCGACCACTGAAGACTAGTTTACAGAAAAAGAAAAAGAAGAAAAAGGATGCAAACACAGCTCTGGTACAGTTGCCCCTTTCACTCCTTCCATTTTTAGGTGTACTGTATCTGCATATGGACTCATAAACAATACTCTGCTGTCCACCTACTTGCCCTGAACACTGTTGTTGTGTCTTTTCTTTTCCAGCCAGTGGTGATGTGTGGCTTCCAGGAGCTGACAGGGAATTTGCAAGACCTGCTGACACAGGCCATGGAGCATATAAAGGGCCAAGAGACTGCCATGACATCACTTAAATTGTCCACTTTAACTTTGGAAGGATACACACAGGTTAGTGCAGAGAAAAATATGTTTTTGTTCTGTTTTTGTTTTTTAAATAGAAACAAACACAGGTTTGGTAGCTGACAAAATCTCCAGCCTGTCCCAGCTGCCATATGACGAGAGGAAGGATAGTTTGTCAGTTTGTCACAGGGCTAACACAGATAATCATTCACTCACATTCATACCTATGGGCAATTTAGAAGACCATGGGTGGAAGCCGGAATACCCGGACAGAAACGACACACACAGAAAGGCCCCGCCCATATGGTGGATTCAAACCCAGGACCTTCTTGCCTGAAACTACTAATCATTAGATATTTTCTATTAGGATTGAATTTATACCTTAATTTGCAGAAAGACATAACAGGGTTTGGATATTACAGATCTTAAATCTTTTAAGCCTCAAATCCAAAGTTTAACTGTAGTATCTCCCGCCCGGCTGTGAGGTTTCACCTCCTCTTTCATGTGTTTCAGGAGGAAGTGTCGTTTACGAAAGCTGCTACGGATAAGGTGCAGTGCAGTTACCTCCGCTCCCTACAGGAGGTGGGAGATCTGCTCAAGAAGAGAACAGAAACTATAAAGAACCTCAAGATATGAACGCCATCACGCATGTCCAGAATAACTCGCCCTCAACCATCACCCCTAAATGCCCCACACCACCATCTACTGTCAGCCCACCAGCTATCCTACAAATCCTTCCCTCTTCACTGATGATGAAAGTTCCTGGGCCTCCCATGTTCTCAGTCATTTCTGACCTTGAAATTCTCACTTGGCGTTTGTGAGTTTTTGATGTTTTTTTTCTTTTTCTTTCAACACACACCTCTGGAACATTTGCAACTGTTATAGCA